GTTAAAAGATAATGCATTTATTTATTCACACAAGGATTGCATTTACCATAAAAGTAAATGTCTAGTATCTAGAAAAGAAAATATACTCAGTGCTTAGAAGATTAAGGACCAAAGGGTAAACAGCAGTAAAACTTAGCCATCATCTTCTTGAGGACTTCTGCCTGAACTTGCCCCTTCTTTTAGGATAAATTGTAGAGTTCTACTTTTCATTTTTGAATACTTCAGACAATGCAGAGTACATTGAAAATCACGTGCTTTGTAGTTAGGCCCTCCTCTCACTTGAAGTGAATTGTGTGCAGAGTCAGCACAATTGAATTGTGAATTGTGAATTGTGGATACTTCCACACTAGCTACTTTATGAATTGAAGGCTAAGGTAAAATATTTTCCTTTATTTGAAAAGGAAAATATACTATTTCTTGGTTTTAAGAATGTCATATTCAAAACTGTCTACCTTTGAGGCTTCTGAAACCTCTCCAGAAACAACTTCCTTCCAACACCTAGTCCTGTGTGAGGAAATTTCATGGAGGGCCTAGTCACACTGGAAGTTTGGTGTTTATTGTTGCTTGAAAATAAAATAGGTGCTGTTTTTAATATGGGGGGGCGGGGAATAGGACACCTGCTTTTTCCAGTATGTATTGACAAGCTTTCCCATCTTGTTCTTTTCTCAAATGGACTATGAGCTCTTCAACAGCATGTGTTCACCTTCCACCCGAAAGAAACAATGATTCACACTTTATGAACATCCAGCACATTACTTAATAATAGTGCATATGAAGTTATTTGAACTCTCTATGATACTCTCACGTGTCATTTACATGCAGCTGTCAGATTAATTTTGTAGATATATTTCTGATGATGGCATACCACTGCTCAAAAATTGTCAATTTTCTACTAGATATATATTTTTAAATATATATCTTCATCGACATATAATATTAATTTTAGTGTACAACTTGCTACTCAAAGTGTGGTGTCCAGACCAATAGCATTGGCATCACCTGGGAGTGTGTTGTAAATGCAGATTCTCCCGCTCCGTTCTAGACCTACTGAATCAGCAAGATTCCTAGCCAAGTCATACATACAGTTTAGACTACCTCAACAGCAAACTTGCTAAACTTGAAGCTTCAGAAATAGGGTTGCCAGATTTAGCAAATAAAAATAGTAGATGCCCACTAAAATTGGAAAAAGATGGATATATAAATATATCTCAAATGCTTTGTGGGACATAATTATACTTAAAATATATATTCATTGTTTTATCTGATATTCAGATTTTACTAGGCTCTCTGTATTTAATCTGGCAACCCTATTAAGAAGAATAGTATCCACATCTAACATAACTTTGTATTCCCCTGCAATAGTACAGTGCCTTCTCCTACTGTTCAATGTATGGTTGAAAACAGTTTTTTCTGGTTTTTGTTTAACATTGTATATCCCCAGAGGCTAACACATTATCTGGCACACAATAAAGGACCAATAAATATTTCTTTAATGATAGGGAGGATAACTGGTAATGGAAAAAAAATTAAAGAAAATAAAGAAAAATATATTTCTTTAATGAGTAAATGAATGTATCTAGAGCAATCTTCCATGGATGGGCTTTTGTGTGCGTATTTTAATGAAAAATTAATATTTTTCTAGTAATTAAAAAAAAAAAATGTTTAGCCCGGCCAGTGTGGCTCAGTGGTTGAGCATCAGCCCGTGCCCCTAAAGGTCAGAGGTTCGATTTCCAGTCGGAGCACATACCCTGTTGCGGGCCGGATTCCCAACTGGGGTCGTGCAGGAGGCAGCCAATGGATGTTGATGTTTCTCATCAATGTTTCTTTCTAAAATCTAAAATCAATAAAAATATTTTTTAAAAAAACACCAATGTTTAAAAGCTTCTACTCGTACAGTTTTTCACATTCTAGCTGGCAGAGTTCTGGACTCAATGAGAACATAATGAAAAGGGTTCAGAATGTGCTTGTGGCAGACCGGGTCCATATGGTTAACGGCGGGAAACGATCCCACACTCGGATGCGGACAAGCCCGCAGCAGGAGGCAGTTGGCAATTCCTCCCCCTCTCGGGCCC